ATTTAATGAGTTTTGGTCGAATGGCCCAATGTCTGGTGGTACAACTTCTGTTACGTGAGTTAGTGCCTGGGCTATGGCGAGGTGAGGGAGATAAGTAATAGGCATACCGAGATCTCCTCGTTATCCTCCTCTCTCGGAGCGGTGTTGCTGGCACTCAACAAGGTCAACAACTTCTCAACGTTCTTGATCTCAGCAAAGACCTCGGCCTCCATTTGCGCCTCGCGTTGAAGCTCATCAGGGGTGGGGTCCGTGAGCTTCTCAACATAGTTGAGGGGGAAGATGCCTGTTTTCCCCTTCAGCGACCCTCGCCACCAATCCTTGTAAACGCTCTCGAGTACAGCAATGACGTCGCCCTTCTTGAACTCCAGCTCGCCGGGTTCCGAGGGGGCAAAATCGTAAAGGGCCCTGACGCGGGATACGGTTGCGGCCGTGGTGCCGGAAGGCATGGGTTGGATAGGTGCGGCCGGTTGCTGTTGAGTTGCGGGTCCCGCCGTGGCTGGCCCCCCCGCCCCCGATGGTGCCGCCGCCGGAGCTGCTTGCGCAGGTTTCTTCTTCCGCTCCTCCTCCTGCAAGCTCAGCTTGAGCGCAATCTGAAGCTCGTCCTCTTCCTTTTGGCGATCCTGGTCGGTAAGGCTGTTCTTCTGTGGCGCACTGGGCGGCTGGAGCGTCGGATTGCTTTGCTTGAGGCGATAGAATGCATCGTACATGATGCCGAGGTCCGGGTCCGACTTGAACATGTCCGACCAGTCCTTCATGCGTTCGAGGATTTTCGCTTTGACTTGAGTGTGTGTGTTGCGGTCGTTGGCAAGCTTGAGCAGGGCGTCGGTAAAGGCGCGGCTTGACAGCTCGCGGTGCATATTCTTGCCGCAGTTTTGCGAAAGGGCATTTGCGACCTAGTAATAATGTCAGTTTGCGAGAGCGGCGGCAGGGCGTCAATGCGCTCACCTCGAGCGTGTATAACTGGACGTTCGCGTTGCGATGCGCTAAGCGTTTGATCAGGCTGGCTACCGACTCCTTTGGCCCGTTTGCATCGCCGGCGACTCGATCGCAAATCTCCATAATGGCGCCCCAGTCCTCGGACGTCTGGTTCTCATCGGTGGCCTTATCTGCGAAGGAGAAAATCAACGGTCAGCTGGGCACCCCGACATGCGCGGCATCTTTTCCGGAGAACATACTGATGGCCTCATCGTAGGGCCCGGCCGCAGCCGCTCGGAACATGGCGACGGCTGGCTGGTAGGTCTCGAACGGTGTTTGTAGGAATAGCGTGAGCTCGAAGTCGGGATGCTGTGCTGAGTGTTTGACTGCTCGGCGTGCAACAACTCTGACGTCGGGGTGTTGGTGATGATTTGCTTGCCCCGCTCACACAAGGCTCTCGAAATCGGGAATCGATGTCGGAAAGTTGATTTCCAAGAGGTCTGCGTTCGTGTTTAGCAATAAAAAAAAAGCACGAGTCTTGAAGTTTCAATATCGCAAGTCCAAGGCTGCGTCAGCACAAGAAAACTATTGAGGTCGGAATATTACGCGGAACAATGGTGGCCCTGGAATGGAAGACGGATGGATGATGGAACATTGGTGGGCAGCGCCGCGTGGTTGGTGGCTTGGGTTGTTTCCTATGACGGACGCCCGAGCGGGCAGGCAGATTCCATGCCGATTCGCCCCGCACCGCACCTTTGCAAGCTCCTTGCCCCCCTGTCAGCTGCCCGGCTGCCCTGCGCATCATCCCTGCTTGGCGCCGCATTGTCGCTGAACTTATTGCTTGGCGTTCAAACGCCTCACGGCTTTCGCCTTCCATTGCGTAGGTGCTTGCGCAGCCACAACAGGTCTTCAGCACACCCCGACCAGGAGGGAGGTTCAGGAGACGGCATTGGATATGCTTGAGAATATTTGTCCCGGTCAAATTCAAGATCCACATTAAGAACGAAAACGACTTAACTGCAAAGGGGATTTGTCCGCTCCTAGCCATCTGTTTCATCCGATTTTAGATGCTGAGTAGTTTGTAGAAAAACATACTTTGCTCCGCGGGATAAAACACATGTTTTGTAGCCGAAGGACGCCATCACATATGTGCTATGTAGATGTTACAAGCATGATGAAAAAGGCATCCTTGACCTCCTCCCCCTTTTTGTACTCTCCGCCCCCTCTGGCCTCGTCATGGTAGCTGTGGAGAGTGGGTTATCGCAGGGTTGAGGGCGATGCGTCTCCAAAGCGGCCAACATGACAAGCCAAAATATTCAATGCCGTTGATTTGTCTCATCCCGAACCAAGGGACGGCCGTTTGCACTCTGAACGAGCAGGTTCGACGACCTGTGTCCAGGGAATAGCAACTGCCAACTAAAACCCCCAATGCAAAAACGAAACTGCCCAAGAGAGTCTAGTCTAATAAAGCTAGCCAAAGAGAAAGACCTCTATCACGCCCCGAGCGCTACTATTTAGTTGTGCGTGTCGCTCCCTCTCACTCTTCAAACACTCCATAATTTTGAGCTTCTGGAGAACTTCGCCTCAAGCCTGGCCATCCCTCATCTTGCGGAAGAAATCCATCACGCCGGTGTAAACAACAAGCAGAATACCGCCGCCGGGTCCCAGTCGGAGAACCTTGGGGATGAATCCCTTGTAGAGAGCTGCGAACCCTTCCTCCTTGGCGACCGTCGCCAAGGCGGGCCAGGCCCAGTTGTACTTCGGAGTTTGACCGGGCACCTTGACGCTGTTTTGAATACGGCTCTTCACAACGTCCATGGCTAGAAAGAGTGTTAGCTGAGTCTGTTGTGTTTCGCAAGGTGCCCTAGGAGAGCCCAAGAGCCCCCCTGACTGCTAGAAAGCGGCAAATAGTTTGAATCTAACGTACGGGTATTGAGGATGGTGCCGACAGTACCGCCAACGGTACCGGCAATGATATCGTTAAATGTTTGACCTCCTTTCGTGTCGGCCTTGGGGAGCAATTGTCGGACCTGGAAAATGCAGCCGAAATAACCGGCGTTCCAGAGAATGTGGCGCCATAGCGTCGACTCGAGGCCGTTGTACATGGCCAAGATGCCCTCGTTGCGCACCGTCTTGAGAACGACATCGATCATGCCGTTGTACTTGCCAGCCGAAGCCTTGTCCTGGAGGCGAATCTTGACGAGCTCAAAGGGGACCACGACGAAAGATTCGGTAGCACCAGCGGAAGCACCCGTCAGAACCGAGAGGGACTGGGTCATGGTTTGCTGGCCGAACATCTCCCTGTAGAACTTGCCCCACTTGTCGTTGGCGGCGAACTTGGTGGCACGCTTGGGCGCTTCCATAAGGATGGGGGCGGTAATGCCGCGGTAGAGCCTCGAGAAGCTACCAAGACGTCAACAGCAGCCCGTTATACACCCAGACTTCTCCAAGCGCATACCCCTCATTGCGGATAATCTTCCGGAAGCAGTCGAGCATGCCATTGTACGAATCGGCGCCACCGCCCTTGCCGGTCTGCAGTTGTCTGATCGGTGGTCAGTCGAAGCGTACCGATACGGCTGTGGGCACCTGCTCACACTCGTGTCTTGACGACATCTAGCGGGTACCTGGTGGGCGACGAGGTTAGCAACTGAGGCACGCGACCACGAGCAGGGATGACTTACATGACCAGGATCTACATGCGCCCAGGTTGTTAGCATGTCAATTGACTAACATTGGGACCATTGGTCAACGTGCTTCAGATACACCGGCAATGGCACCTGTTCCGTGGTCATGGTTAGCGATCCGAGACTCCGCGGTCCGTGTCGGAAATCTCTCGGAAAGCGCTCACCAGCCATGAAAGTGTAGCGGAAAGGCAACGGGGCCTTCTCTTTTTCTGCCGCCATTTTGTCTTGTTTTGGGGGCGTCTATGGCAATAAAAATGCGACAAATGGGAAATAAACAAAGAGAAGTCGGACGAAAAAAATAGGGTATCAATAAAAACTGCGAAAAGAAAGTGTGTCGTCCCTTGAATTAGCAAGCCGAGAGTGGGAGTTTTGGTAGCCGGGATGCAAGCCGCCCACCCCCACATTAACTAAGCGCAGATTTCCGTGGGGAACGACATCGGAGGGCCCAACCCATCCTGGCTCTGATCCGCCGTTCCGGGAACCGGCTAAAATGGAGGGAGTTCCTTATAGCTAACCCTAACCCGTATCATAGACGCGAGACATCGCGCCGTGGGCTAAACGCCACATTTGTAAACCGAGTGACATTGCGATGGAAAGGGAAACAAAATAACACAAATAACCTCATGTACATAGGTGTGTAGTCAATACTTAGGGAAGAAATATAATGGATGCGTTGAATGAACAAGGCGGCTTTAAATATCTTAGTTTAGTAATGGCCGTTCGACCCAATTCTGAGCTACCTCGGCTTAACTAATTGACACAGAGGTAAGACGGTTGGTTCCTTTTCTGTATGTTTCCTTCCAGAATCCCACATGCACGTTTTATCGTCACAAGGCCCGCCCGAGGCACCTGCACGTTTCCTCATGCAGGCATTCTTTGGTCCGGCCTTGCAGTTCGATGGTTTTCAGACAGGGCTGAGCCGTTGTCTCCAAGCGTTTGGGGCATGAGCACACAACCTGCAAGCCGATTGGCCCGTAGAGGATGCCCAGACCAGGGACGGTGCGACTGCGGAACGCGGGGCTATCGCGATGGTTGCGCACACGTTCCCGGAGATGTGACCGGGTCGCTCCCCAACAACGCTGATCGCATCCCGCATCCTTACGAGACAGTTGCACACTTCGGTACACCGCTTAGAGCTTTACACTTCGAAATCAACAACAAAAAAGGAACCCCAACCGAGCGGAAACGAATATCGAAACCTTATCGAGAACGACTACACCGTCGAGCTACTTCCGAAGAATCCGTGTCCTGCACGAAATCGCCACGCACACACAAGGATTGCACCCATTGGTCTCTCTCATTTGACGCATAAACCTCGGGGTCCAAGCCCAGCGCCCGGCCCTTGACGTGGGAAATCTTTTCACGGGCTTCCTATCGCACCTTTAAACAGGCCGTGATCTAGCGAGACCACAGCGAGGTGCATTCGAAGCTTCGAAAAGACAACCCACGATTAACACCCGGCACATGACTCATCTGCTGTGGAAGCACTATTGGGAAGACGATGTCGACCGATTTCGACGCCTTCTCGCCCCAACTGGCCATGGCGCCCAGAACGGTCCTCGGAACTCTGGTTTGAGTACGGGGATAGTGGGAAGTCCAGGCTATGGCACTTCGCCGCGCGCCGCGACTAGATCACGCAAGCTTCCGGGCTTTGGAACAGGCTCCGGAAGCGCGCGACACGGTTACGGTGGCCTCGGACGGAACGAAATCAACAGCCGCGACCAGGCAGGACTCACCGTTTTGCTGCGCGCAGCATCTTCGACCGCCGATAATGCCATATCCTTCGTGGAGGCACTGCTTGAACACCCCGCCATCGACATTTATGTCCAGGACCCTGAGAGCGGCTGGAATGCGCTGCATCGGGCACTGTATGCGGGGAATGTATCGATCGCCAGACTCCTGCTGGAGAAGGAGTGTAGGGACTTGACAGGGCACACGGCTTCACTGCATCGAGTGGGGCAGCTCATCAAAACGAAAGATCATGAGGGCTATAGTCCGTTTGACTTATATAACTCCATTATCGGCGAGCGCAACCTCAAGGAGCTAGCGAAGGAGGAAAGACCCGATGATGGATCTGACAGCGATGAGGCAGAGACTTCTTTGGACCAGGCCCCGTGAGTCTTCCTTATTTTTGGTCTCTTTTCCGGGCCCTGTTCCAGCCGTTCTTATTCTGACCCTAAGCAGGGGCACGAATAGCGTAAACATTGCCGGCGAGGATCTATTTGCGTTTGGGAGTAATCGAAACCTTTCCTTAGGGTTTGGCGACGAGGACGATCGTCAATTCCCGGAGCGCGTGTACCTCAAACGCCCAGATGACTTGCTACGGAGGTTTCACAGAGAGTACCTCCAGGCCACTGGAGAAGGGCGGCCAGCGGCTCAGGATTTATCCAAAACTCCTACTCTCGTTCTCAACCGGCCTTTGATGATACAGGACGTGGTTCTTTCCAAACTGCATAGCGCGGTTCTAACAACAGACCCGGTGTCGAACCTTTATGTCTGCGGTATCGGTCGCGGAGGGAGGCTCGGCCTTGGGGATGAGAACACGCGGTTCACGTACACGCCCGTTCAGGGACCGTTTGTTGACAAAAGGATCATCCATGTTGCCCTCGGCCAAAACCACTCCATGGCCGTCGATGACACCGGCGCACTATGGACGTGGGGCAACAACGCCCAGTACCAGCTGGGATACGTTCTCCCCGAGCCGGCAAAGAAGGGCGAGGATCCTCTCAGCACCGTCCCGCGCCAGGTGTTTGGTCCCCTGAAGAAAGAGGCCATTGTTGGGATTGCGGCCTCCTCGATACACTCGGTCGCGCATACCGGCACATCCCTATATTGCTGGGGCAAGAATAGCGGCCAACTGGCATTGATGGACGCCGATTCCAGGTCGCTCGAATTTCAGCAAACGCCCAGGAAGGTCGCAGCCTCCTTATTCTCGTCGCCGATCGTCATGGTGACTGCAATTGATAAGGCGACAACGATATTGCTGCAGAACCACACAGTCTGTGTGTTCACCGCGTACGGGTATCACATCGTCAAGTTCCCCTTTGCAACCCTTGATCTGGTCGGCAATATTCAACTGTCCACTCGCCAGGACCCGGCTTGGAACCAGATCAGCTCCATCACATCGGGAGGAGAAACAATTGCTGCCGTCACAAGACGTGGCGACCTGTTTACAATGAACCTGGACCATAAGATTGAAACCAATCCTTCAAACACGTCTACCACAAACCCTTCCAAGATCAAGGGTGCGGTCACGACGGCGCAGTGCATTTGGTCCGCCAGGCGGGATGGCGTCCGTTCCGTCGGTGTGGGTGAGCATGGCTCCGTCATCTTCAGCACTCAATCAGGAGCTGTGTGGCGAAGGGTAAAACGAACCAAAGCAAAGGATGCATCTTCTTGGTTATCAGAGTCGAAGCGCAAAGACTACAAATTCCAGCGCGTACCCTGCATCACAAATGTCGCCACCGTCCGAGCTTCGGCATTTGGTGCGTTTGCCGCCATCCGAAAGGACTCGGAAGTGATGAGAGAACAGCTGGCCATCGACGAGCAATCTATTTGGCAGGACATAGCACCATTAAACAGTCTTGCCGGTTTCCGGGCGTCGAAACCGAGGGACAAGAAGGACGAGGCCTGGATGTTTTGGGGGAAGAATGATTTCGGGGAACGTCTCGGCCCAGTGGCCTACGAAGTGCTTAAATCTTCCGAAATTGAGCACGACTTGTCACAGCACCTTGCACTGCTGTCATCCCAAAACGGTCAGTTGGATGCCGCTGTTTGCACCTCCTTTTCACCTGAGATCAAGGTGCCTATCCATGGTTGGCTGCTTGCCGCTCGCAGTCCCGTCCTCCGTAGTGCACTTGCGCAATTTCGCAAGGCGGGGTCTTTCACCCACGAGCTGTTCAGCATCAGCGATGCCAACGGCAAGGTGGTGTTGCTCTTCCAAGGCTTGGACATAGTTTCGCTACTGAACCTTGTCCTGTTCGCATACGAAGATAAGGTGATCCCGGTATGGAACTTTACCGGCCACGTACGGCCGCTGGCGCACCGCTATCGCCAGATCCGCCAAGAGGTTATGAAGCTCGCCACTCGTCTCGACATGAACAGCCTCGAGGCGGCAGCAAGGCTGCAGGTGGAACCCAAGAAATGCATGGACCAAGATTTCCAGCTTGCTATCAATGACCCGCGCTTCTTCGCGGACGGGGATGCGTTGCTAGCGCTTGAAGGAGCCGAGGTGCCGGTCCACAGCGCCTTTGTCTGTCAGAGATGCCCTTGGTTTCAGACGCTCTTCTTTGGGCGCTCCCAAGGCATGTGGCTTGAGGGCCGCCGGGCCCTCTCGGGTGGTTGCATCAAGATTGATTTGACCCATGCCCACCCCGCGGCATTCAAATATGTTCTGCAATATCTTTACGGAGATTGTGGAGCTGAGCTATTCGACCCCGCCGTGTGCGACTCCTTGGAAGATTTTCTGGACCTCGTGATGGAAGTCATGTCGATCGCCAACTATCTGATGCTCGACCGGCTATCGCAGATCTGCCAGCAGATTATGGGTCGATTTGCGAACGTGCGCAACATTGCTGACTTTTTGAACGCCATCAGTCCCTGCTCAGTCCCAGAATTCAAGGATGGGGGCTTGGAGTATATCTGCCTGCAGTTAGAGACAATGCTCGAGAACCATCTCCTAGATGAACTGGATCAGGATTTGCTCCTCGAGCTGGATGAAGTGGTCCGGGACAACCAAGCTGCCCAGTCACCGTTTGTGCGGAGCGGCCATGCCGAGCTGCTGCTTCATAAACGCAATCCTTGGTTGGCCGAGGAGATCGATGAGGAACGTCAGTTATGGGTTAAGGGACTGGCATACAAAGCGCAGAGGGAAGAGGAGAAGAGGCTTTTGTCCGCTACCAAGACCCGATATGGCAGTTTGGATGACATGAGTCCGCTCACGCCTACCCCTGACAGGACGAGAAATGTGTCGAGGGCGGAACGGAGTGAGGCCCCCAGTCCTAGCCTTCGGCCAAAGGCGTCACACGGAGATATGATGTTTGATATGGACGACGAGTTTTCACCAGTGACTAGTCCTTCGGCTAGGCCCCGGAAGATGGACGAAGGGGCCACGGATCTGGACCAGATTCCGCCGCTGGGAAGCTCTTGGAAAGGTAAAGGGAAGAAGGTACGACTTGATCTTAGGTCCGCATCGCCAGGTAGCCCACTCGGGATGCTAGGCACGCCCATTAAGTCGGCAAACGGGCTTAACGTTAGCCCGGACATGGTCACTTCAACACCCCTCCAAGCTGGGCAGCCTTGGGGGTCTGCGACAACGCCAACTTCGAAGTTAGATCTCCGTGATATCATTCAGTCTGAGACAGCCACCCAGTCCATGCTTTCAGAGGGTTTGGCGGCGCAGAAGGCTAAAGAATCCACGCCGAAGCCGGCCCAACAGAAGATATCCCAAAAGGAAAAGAAGCGGCAGCAGCAGGCTGCTCAAGCAGCCCAAGCGGCACTGCTCGCGGCCAAGGCGGACGGGGCCAAGAACGCGTGGGAACGGACCCCCGACGAACCCCAAGCTTCACCATGGCAAGCGGTCGGCAAGGAGAAGAAGATTCCGTCCAAGGGATTACTCTCCCCAGACGCGCCGGCCGCCATCCCCATCCACCGCCGCACGGCCTCCCCAGACACGCGCTTCGCGGGCCAACGCACCCCGAGCTCATCCTCCTACAAACCAAACCTACCTCCCTCCACGCCTCTCTCCTCCACCACCACCAACCCCCCTTTCCCCGTAACAACCCCAACCCCCAAACCCGACAACCTCACCCCGCATTCCAAAGTCTACATCCCCCCCGCAACCCCCAAACCCGACTACCTGCTGGGGTTGGGGCTGCGCGACATCATGGGCCAGCAGACGCGCGACAAGGAACAGGTGCGGGAGGCGGCGGCGGCGGCGGCCAAGCGCTCGCTGCCGGAGATCCAGCAGGAGCAGGCGTTTCAGGAGTGGTGGGATGCGGAGAGTAGGCGGATGCAGGGGGAGGAGGAGGAGAAGGAGAGGAGGCGGAGGGGGAGGGAGTAAAACCCAAGACTTTTACCAATCTGGGAGGGTGGGAACTAGGAATAACTTCGTGCGAAGACAATCATATTAATGCATCATATATAACTAAAGAAGACGTGATA